CTCTTGGCCATACAAGAGAACATTGGTGCTGGGAAGACACCCTTGCACACCCACCACACACACCTTCACCCACAACTTTCCCAAGGGGACAACGGGCAGTCAGACCCCCCCACTGCTGGCCCTGCCCCCCCACCCAGGGCTGGGCTGTTCCACCTCCCTCTGGAGCACTCATCGCCCCTTGACACCACTTGGAGGCATCACCCATCTACCCAGCAGCACTGAAGTGCTCCTCACAGCTGTTTGCTGGCTTCCCACAGCCCAGGAAAATTAAGTTCCAGGTCCTGATGCTCCAGGCCAAAGGGCTCAGCTGGCACTGGGTCTCGTTGGGAGAAACGCGTCCTGGCGCGGCAATGAGCTCGACTTGCTCTCTGCAGAGCTGGTCCCCTGCTGCCTAATGAGCCACAACATCTGTCACAGGCTTTGCTGCCTTCTGCTCTGAATGCAAGTCACACCTTGCTCTGAGCAGCACTCTGCTCTCCTGGGGCCAAAACGGGACTCTCGGGCTCACCCTGTGGGAGGGGAGCAGGATGGAGCCCTTTCTCCAAGCAAGGAACGAGCCATTTTTTCCCCCCAGTCCTGCTTTTTTGCTTACTAAGGAGCTTTGCCCTGGTTCCAGCAGGAGATCTCCAGGCCCAGGTAGTGGGGGAGTGATTTTTTTCCCCAAGTCAATGCAACAGAGAAGCAAGGGACAAGGTGGCAGCCAGATCAAGAAATTCCCATGGGAGTTATTTTGGTTTTCCATTTCCTACCGAGCTGACCCGGTTGTGTTGCTGAAGTCTAATTTGCCTCTCACAGAAGGGAGTTAGTGACAGGCTCCACACAGGCCTGGGGAGATGAATCCCCCACCGCCACCCTGCAGAAAGGACAGCAGGACCCCAAAATCCCTTGCTTGTCCCTGGAGAAGGGAGCTGGGGATTGGGAAGGGCAGCCAAGGCCAACAGGAAAGACAAGCAGGGGGAGATGAGGGACACGACACCAGCCCAGGTTTGTCCCTGCCAACTCTCAGATTCCCAGGACAAACAAACAAACCAACCAAAAAAACACACCACAAGTCAACCACTCAGGGAACTGGGACAATTATTGCTATTTAAATTCAACAGCTCTTCACAAAAATAAGGAGAAGTTCAGACAAGTGGGTTTTAAGCTGTATGGGAGGGAAGGAGGAGAAACAACAGGACAGGCACCTCAGTTAAAAATAATGTAAAATACACCAAGCACAAAAGCCCAGGAATTCCCTCAGCAGATCAGGCAGTGTCTCCTCTGCTCAGTCCCAGGCAGCAGAAGTGCCCTCAAAAGTATGAAGCAAACCAGAAACCTAATCCACAGAGACACCAGATCTCTCCCAGAACTGCCCCAGCAGCAGCTCTCACCTCTCTGCAGATCCCAGAGCCTGCCCACATCTGCAATGCTCCACATCCACCTCAGCTGTTTGCAGACTGCTCCCTTTTAATTAGCTTTCATCATTCAATAAGTGTCTCAGAATTAAGCAGCCCCGTGTCAGGAAACGCCAAATGAAATGAACCAGCCACGGTTGGAGGTCACTGCACCTGCCACCAAAACACACCCAGCACCAGGAGGGACACAGGACTAGTTAGCAGCCCCCAGGAACTGTGCCAGTGATTGTAGGTTTTAGCTGATTTTAAAAATGAGGCCAATTAAGGCTCTGGTTTGAGCCCAGTGAGGTTGGATTTGTGGAAATATTTTGCATCCCTGTTTAAGAGCATCTTGATGTCATTGAAGCTCAAGCCTGGAGGGAGAAAGACTGAATCACTGCACAGCACTCAGACCAGAGGAAGTGCCCACATGAGGATTCCCTTGGTTTAACACTCCACCAGATCCATCAAGAAGTCAGGGTGGCTCTTGTGTTCAGGGCCTGATGCAAGAGGGGAACACACGGACCTACTCAAAACCACGTGGAAAATTTAGGCAAGTGACATCTGCCCCAAGCAAGCAGCTCCACTTTGCAACGTGCCCCCCAGACCCCACTGCCCAAAGCAGCAGGGGTTGGAGCTGCTGGACGTTGCTGCCACAGGTCTCATTTCTGCAGAGCTTTCTGCAGCACCACCCAGGCACTGGTGGGACACACTCCAGGCCTGGCTGTAGCTCTAGGGAAGCAGGTTGAAGGCCAAAATGTTTGAGAATGAGAGAAACACCTTGAAAATGGATTTGCAGGTGAAAAAAACCCACGAGTTCAATCAGCTCCTGAAGGAGAGAATTTAGATCAGCACAGCTCTCTGCATCCTGCCTGGGTAGGGAACATCAGGTAGATCATCACAAGTCTTCTCTTTCCCACCAGCTCCAGTGTCTGCACCGTGCCCTGCAGAACTCCCTGGACCATCAGAGGAGAGATGAGCCTGGAAGATCTGCTCAGGGGGAACATGGGCAGTCCCCAGCAACCACCTCTCCTGAGCACCCAGAGCCTCCTCACAGTGCAAGGAAAGGGAGGAGATGCTGTGAGTAAGGTAGAATCAGCCTTTCCAGTCATCATCAGGCAGGGCTGGGGATGGGAAGGGAAAGCTGCTGATGGAAACAGCAGAGCAGTGTCTCAGAGCTAGAAACATCAACCAGAGACATCAGCTTCAGTTTTCTGGGAGCCCTCTGAACCAGGCAGCATTTCCCATCTGATCTGACAGTGATGGATGCTCTGGGAATGGAGACATTTTTTTCCTCCTGAGAAGGTCTTTTGACAAATATGATCTTATCAAAGCTTCAAGCTTTTCATTATATTTCTTTTTTAATCTTTTTTTAAGCCCTGCCTTCAAGCCCTGCTTTGTCCCCTCCGTGCTGGCAGGGAACAGTCATGGTTCATGCCTTCTGGCCCTGATCAAGGGCTGGAGATCTGAGAGGCATGAAGGCCCTTCCCAAGACACCCAGCCTGGGAGACCCACCAGAGCAGAGCTGTTCCATACATAAACAGGTCTAGAAATATGCAAAAACATAGGGGTGACTTCTCTCATGCTCAGAGAAGGGAATATATCATGGAACAGTTTGGGTTGGAAGGGACCTTTAAAGGTCATCTAGTCCAACCCTCCCTGCAGAAATCAGTGACATCTTCAGTGACATCAGGTTGCTCAAAGCCTTGTCCAACCTTACCTGGAATGTTTGGAGCAGGTTCTGATGTGGGAGTGGGCACCACTCTCAGCTCAGACACTCCACTGTGTCAGAGCCACATGAGCAGGACACACTCCCAGCCCTTGGGCACAACTTTGGTGGATCAGCTCAGAAGACACTTGCCCAACAGGAGAGCAAAGGGCTCCTGTGTCACCAGCACCAGACTTGCCTGGCTGGGAGAAGCACACACCCCAGCACCCTTGTTGCACCCTCTGTGAGGTCAGGACCCTGCCAGCAGCTCACTGGTTTTGCTGGGCACTTCAAGCAACCACCTGCCCCACACTTGGAAGCAGCCCAGCTCTCTAGGGCAGGCAGCAGCACCTTCCCCTGCCTCCTTTCCCCCCTTTCCATCTGCTCTCCAGAATAAAAACAAGCTCAGACCATCCCCTCCTTACTCAGCAGCAAACAAGCACAGCCACCCCCTTTCCAAGGGCCTTTCCCAGGGAACAGGAACAGCAAACACTACAAACCCACCCAGAAACAGGCAAAAAACCCAGACTCTTGGAAGAGCCTCATACCTTGCACACCAGGCTGTGGGATCTGGAGGAGCAGGCAGGAACCAGGAACCCTCCCTGGAGGAAGAGCTGAGCTCCTTTTATCAGCTGGCATCTCCCTCCTTAGCCCAGGTTGGTCCTGATGGGGAGGGTGGAGCTGGCCCTGCCCCTGGAGAGGGGGGCAAAAAGCTTTCAAAAATCCCTTCCTCTCTGCTCCATCCCACCAGCTTCAGGTCTCACTTTGGGGAAGAGCAAAAGAGGAGGAATCAGTCCTGATGCTGCCCCAGCTGGGGCTGTGCAGGCTCCACGTGTGTCTGGGTGATGCTGAGCTCTCCCTGTCCCACCCCCACAAGGATCCACTTTGCAGCAGGTTTTCCTGGGGAGGAAGGACACCAAGTCCCATCCTGGAGCACTTGGCCACCCAAAAAACCTGCCCCACCAGCCCAACCCAAGACACCTCCTGGAGCCTGGAACCAACAGTCACCAAGAGACAGCAAACGCTGAGTGCAAAACCATGGTCTTTTATTAGAAATCTCCTTGTATAAAAATGCTCATGCTCTACACAGTCATCAAAGAACTCATAAACATCCAGGCACTGAACTTTGGGGGGTTGGTCGGGGGTTGTTTTTTTTTCTGTGGGTTTTTGTGGGTTTTTTTGACTGGTCAGTACATAAAGCAGACAGGTTTCAATCCATATGGTCATCACATACATGAATTAACCACCTATAGAAATCAGCACTTGGAACACAGTCTGGGTTTGAGTTCATTTTATTTTGTTGTCTCTTTTTTTGTTGTTTTGTTTCGTTTTGTTTCTCGTCGCGATTTTATGTCTTTTTTTTTATTTTCTTTTTCCTTTTTTGCAACATCTAGAATTTGGTAGAGGGAGTGAAGAGGGACAGAGGAAGACAGGAACAAAAGAAAAAGAAGATTTTTCAAACAAGAAATAAATGAAAGAGCAAACAGAAGGTTCTGCACAACCACAAACGATCTCACAAATTCCAAAAAAGGGAAAAAAACAGGTCTTTGTTTTGTTGGGTTTGTTTTTTTTTGCCAAGATACAGAAAAAGAACCCCAAAGACTTTCCAAAGTCCCTCACCTCTTCCCAGCACTAGGTTCCCCCTGCTCAGCTGTTCCTCTTCCTCCTTGGGGAGTCATGCATTGTCACCATGGGTTGGTTTTATTGTTCCTTTTGCTTTTTTTCATTCTCCTTGCTGCTGTCGATCACCAGCTTCTTCCCTGGGAGTTCTGCTCAACGGGCTGGCCAGGAGCATGTGTGTCCCCCTGGCTGCCACCTCCCTGTCCTGTCCCATCCCCTCCAGTGTCCTGGGATGAGTGATGTGACTCTGCTCCATCTTGGCACCACCAGGCTCTCTCCGTGCCAGGCTTTAGCAGGAGCTAAATGGCGTGGTTGCTGTAGCTGACGTAGGTCTGTTTGGTGGCCAGTGCTGGAAAGAGAGAGAACCTCACATGTGTCACTCATGAAGTCCACCCACCCTGACCAGCCTCACATCCCACCACCATGACCTGACTCCTGCCAGGAGATCTTCCTGGGGCCACGACACAGGGTTTGCTCGTGGCTCAGGTGCTCAGGATGGTTCCCTGTGAGGGTGCTGAGCTGTGCCAGGGGGGCTGAGCCCCACAGCAGCCCCTGGGGGGGTCTCTAAAGACAGCTCAGCACAGAGAGAGCCCCCAGGGTGTGACATGACCCACCAGAGATGTGTCCTGTACTTCTCGCAGACAGTCCCACAAGTGCTCCGTGTTCCCAAAAGCCCAGCCTGCCCCAACCCTGCCAGAGCAGGACTGGGGGTGCAAGCTGAGCAGCCCACCCTGCGTGGGGCTCTGAGGCAGTGGGGAGCAGAGCAGCAGGCACTGCCAGCCTGGGGGGCACGGGGCTGGGGCTCTCACCAGGGAGCCCTGTGCCCGTGCTCTGGAGGAGCAGAACACACACAGACCTGCTGCCACCTTCCAGCCTCCCCAGCCCCCACGACAGGGTCGAAGACACAAAGGAGAGGAGGCAGCAGGGACTCCAAAGCCACCACCCATCCCAGGCTGGCACCTGGGGAGCTGCAGCAAGGCCAGGAGAACACCAGGCAGCCACAAACCCTCCTGCTCCTGATGCCTTCGGGCAGGACATCACTTGCTTTTAGCAGCAGCCACAGCCCAGGAGGGGTGGAAGCAGCAACACCCTGGCTGGTCTCAGCCCTTCATCCAGGCACCGTGCTCTGTGGAGATCCCACCACGAGACCCCCACCTGCCCCAGGGCTGGCCAGACACATGGACACCCTCCAGCTGAGGGCAGGGACAAGCAGTGGGGACACAGAGCAAAGCCCAAGACACCCAAAGCAGCACAGACCAAGCCCTGGCACCAGGCAGCCCAGCCAGCAGCTCTCCCTGCACCCCGGTGCCTCCCCAGCAGATGAACTTGCCTGCAGATTTCAGCCCGGTATTCCCAGATAACAATTAGATAGGCCAGAAGAAATGAGAGCTGACAGAGCTATTTGTTAGCTGCAGTGTTTTCATTGCCAATCTCCCCGTATCAAAGCCCTGTGAATTATTTATTCTGTTGTTTATTCAAGGGTCCGTGACCCGCGGGTGACAGTGACAAACGTCCCCTCGGTCCCACATCAACAGCCCTGCTGTGCCCCTGCCCCCAGCACTGCTGCTGTGTCCTGCTCCCCACCTTGGCACACCTTGGGAATCCTCTGCCAGCCCCGTTTCCTCCCACATTTCCCACACCAGACACCTCGGGGTTGCAGCTGCTCTCCCTGCTCCCAGCACGTCCCGCAGGGTGGGAGCTCAGCTCAGGTGGGAACGTTTGCATTCAGGTCCTGGAAAAGATGCTCCCAGCATCTGAGCCTCCGAGCCCTGCTGCAAAGGGGGTGGTGGCACTTTGGGCTACCAGAGCCTGGGCCAGGAGCCACGTTTGGCTGGAGGGACACAAGGTCCCACACACTGATGCTGTTGCAGCACCAGCGCCTGCGCCACGGGGGGACACTGGCAGCAGGTGGCTCCCCAGGACAGGGCTGGGAAAAAACCCCTGCCCATGGGGACCCCCCAGACAACCCCAGCCTTGCACAGAGCACCCCTTGCACAGACAGAATAGGGTTGCAGAGGTTCCAGCTGCCACGCTGGGACAGGAGTGTGGACAGCACAGATCTGAGCCAGCGGGTGACAAAAGCCACCATGGGCAGGGAGGGGAGTCTGACTGTGCAGCTGCTCTTCCCAGTGCAGACAGGTAGAAGAAAGTTGATTATGCAGAGATCTAGATGTTACACGGAGCTGCCAAGGGATATTAAATAGCTCGGGCTGGAAAAAGAGCAAGTGTGGGATTACAAAGACAATCACAGCTTTCCAGGGAAATGCTGATGCTGGAACCCAAAAACTCTGCTGGTACATGAGGAACGTTTGTTTATCCACAGGGTCTTCTTCAGCTTTAGCCCAAATGGGATTTCCCTTCTCAAAGGTCCTCAGCAGCATTGTCTCCAACCATTTCTTCCTCCTGCATGACCCTGTTTCTGGGAACCCAAACACAGAGCAGCCACACCCCCACTTTCCCTGGGTTTCCTGAGCCCCCAGCCTCTTCTCCCAGGGGACACTGGTGGCTCTGTCCCTGTGTCAGCCTCAGCTCCAGCCTGGCCCTGGGAACAGCACTGAGGAACACACTGAGCTCCTTTCCCACCAGCCACACTGCAGCCTTCCCAGGAGCAGCTCCAGGCACCCATTAGGCTGACATTAGGATTCTTCTCCAGGTGATCCAGCAGAATTCCATGTGCCACATCTCACCAGCAGCCACATGAGTGTGTCTCCAGCATCGCTTCTCCTGACACCCCTCCCAGCAGCATTCCCCATGGGATAACACCCCCAGGCCTGTGGAGGGATGGGAATGCCAGGAGCAATCCCCATCAGAAGGCAGGACACCCCCTGCCTCAGCCAGGTGTGATGGAAAATGGCATTTCTTGGGTGGGAATAAATTAACAAAGGGGGAGTCTGTCCTGCCCACAGAGGAGCTGACAGGTTTCCCTTGCCAAGGGCCAGGAACCTCTGCTCCTGCCCTGCCTGCAGCACAGGTAAGTGGATACACCTCTCCCAGGGTGGCTTTGGGCACGGTGGGGGGCAGCACGACCCCCCAGCCCACGAGGTGCATCCCTGGCCCCACTGCCCTCACTCCTGGGGGGTGGCAGGAGAGAGCCAAGATGTCCCTTGGCCAAGGAGCAAGGCTGGAGGACGACACAGCTACAGCCCCCCCAGGAGCCAGGGCTTGGGCTTCCCAGCCCCCTGCCGGGCTCCAGCAGGACCAGGTTCCCCAGCCCCACAGGCAGCCACGTTACCTTGTGTTTCCAGGTTTTCACAGAGCTCTGATTTAGCCTCCCCGTTGGGGCGGAACCCTCCCTTCTGAGAGAACTTGTTGGACATGGTGGCCGCTGTCACCACCGCCTTGAGGCTCCGCTTGCGCTTGGGGACGTTCTGCTCCGGGTGGAAGAGGATGATGTAGACCTTGGGCATGTAGAGCATGCCCAGGGACACCCAGGCACTCAGACTCACC